CCAATCTTTTCTGTCCTCCATCCACAGGTGATCTATTTTCCAAATACCATTTTTAATCCAAGAAAGCCACTTTTGTTCAAGGAAAAGTGGGTTATGGGCTTCGTTTGTTATCCATTCATTACCGAAAAGCGGTTGTCTTAGGACTTCATCCTTGGATTTGGGTTTGTTGATCTTATTAGGGATTATTTTCCTCCACGATCGGAGCAGTGCTGGCCAGTAGGGGGTGGGTGGCCGGTGGTCATTGGTCCTGTTATTCCTCGTCCGATTTCTCCGACCTGTGGATATTACCCATTCTTTGTTCATTACCCAATGAAGACTTTTTAAATCCTTTAAAAAACCCTTTACCCAGTCTTCTGACTTCCTTCACCCTTTCTCTATTCTTGAGCCCGCTTGACCAGAAACTATAAAAATGGGTCTGACATGAGACGACCCATGAGACGTCCTATATTTACGTTACAATGCAGTTGCTCAAGGATGAGAGCCCATCCCCTTTGGACCTTCACTGCTTAAACCCTTTGGGCCGTTTTTAAAACCTTTTTACCCTATCACCTCCTGATATATCTGAATCTATAAAGGGAGGTCTGACATGAGGCAACCAACATTTTGCGTTACAATGCAGTTAACTAAGGATGAAGAGATTCAGAGAGGATTATGCGTCTAGAACTGTACGAGTAGAGTATTCTCAGATCATAGGAATTTCTCTGATCGTATGAAGATCCCATGTTGCCAGTCCCATGTATTTCTCCTGGCCCCTGTACCTGGATACACATCACGTGTCCGGTGCTCTTCCTCCTTCCTTGTACTCAGAAACACGAAAATTGCCTTGATTGAAGTGGATGTCGCCTGGCTCCCTCTGAGTTGAACTTGCTATTTCTTTCTTAGCTGTCGATTACCGAGCTGCTGAAGCTGGAAGATCTGGGTGGCCGGTGACCGGGCGAGGAACAGGGCGGTGCAGAGACGGGGTGAAGTGGGTAGGTGGTGACAGTTGTGGGTGCAGGCCATGGTGGTAGCGGTGGGGGGGGGAAATGCGGGCCAGAGGACTGGGAGTCCACGGGGGATGTGGAGGGCGGGGGAGGCGTAGGGGGTGGGGAGACCATGGGAATCGCGGGGGGATACGGTGGGGTCGAGGGAGGGGTAGCGAAGGGAAGAGGTGGGGGCGGCGATGGGGTCGATGGGGGGAGGCTGGATGGCAGGAGGGGTGG